AACTTAACTCAAAACATATTCATGAAACTTCTAAACTTTTTTTGTTCGCATCATAAACCTCAAAACTAAAATAACTTCACATCACCAATATTTTTAACAAAACTACAATAAAAATCCTAATTCACCATTTATCACATTGTTGTCTCATTGTATTCTTTCTACTTTTATTATTTCATATTTTTATTCATCGTAAAACATTGAAAACACAACTTATAACATATTCAAACAAATTTATCATAAACAATAAATTCTCTTGAAATAACTTTCTACATAGACATGTCCAAAATTCTAAGTCGACGATAATATTTTTCTTTTACTTTTATTAGCATTACAATTGTAGCATAACTCAAAACATATTCACAAACACATATCGCAATATATTTTCCAATTATAAAATCTAAATCATAAAAAAAAAAACTAAAAAATCATCCATCTAATTATTCATTATTGTTCAAAAATATCTTATAGCATTCAAAATTAAAGACTAAGAACAACACAAATACTAAGAAACTAACAAATTTAAAAGTGGTAGGATTAGATTAATACCTCAAATCCTCCATATTGTTATTGCAAGTAAGTCAAAACCACGAACTATGAACCCATCTTTAACCCATGACTTCAACTTATGGTTTGAGAGACGAAATGGTTGACAACATATAATGAGAAATATGATTGAAAATTAGGGTTATCTATGAAATATTTAATATATATAATTTAAATTAACCTAATAAAAATATTAATAAATAATTCATGTGCGTGTAAGTGTAACATTGTGATACACATAGCCTCCAACTCATCAATATAAATTTTTTTTAAAAAAGAAAATAAAAAATATATAATTTGTTTTATAATTTTAAGTAAAAAAATAGTCAAAATAATATAAATTATATTAATAATTTAGTCAAAAAATTATTTTGAAAAATTGTTGTTACTATTGAATTTAAATTTGTAAAATAAACTAATAATAATAATGTTTTTATTTTCAATATATATATATATTATAATAATACTAATAAATTTGATTTAACACGTTTCATTTTAATTATGATATTAGTTTAAAATAAACTTATTGATTTGTTAAAAAAATTTGAAAGATGGAATATCTTGTTTTGAAAAATGTTTTTCCTATCGTGTATTTATTTGTTTAACGTAAAGACCTTAAGAAAAATATATTTTTCATGGTTGAGTTTAAATTTTCATAAATATAATTAGTGATTTTGAGTGCATTTCTAATAAAAAGTGTTTAGGAAATATGTCCAGCTTTAAGCATACTTTTCAACGAAGAGGTTGAGATGACATAAAAAATTGTTTTAAATATGAAAAAGGTTATTTGTTAAAATGACTATTTTAAAAGAAATAAAATATACTATTTTATTATTTTAATGAAAAGACAGTACAAGAGAATAATAGAGAAAGGAGAAGGAAATGAAATATGAAGAGAGGAAAAGGAAGGGAGACGTAAAAGAAATGCTAAGAGTTTAGATGATTTAAAGGAAAAGTTTTTCAAATGGGAAAATTTTATAATTTCTAACCTCTTACATATATATATATATATATATATATATATATATATATATATATATATATATATATATATATATATATATTCCATTCATCAATAAAGATGATTGTGTTTTAGTTCTTTATTGACTTAAAATATTTTTTGAAAAAACTTTAATATTTAAGATTTATTTCACGTATTTATGAAATTAGATATAATTGTAATCTTATTAAACATAAAGAATAAGAATATGTGATTTGGTTTCTAAAGTGTCTTCCTGATATACACTATTATAAAGATACAAAATTTACTCATGAAACTATTATGTGAGATTAATTGTGTTTTCAATCGTCCTTTAACAGAAAAGACAACTTAGTGGAAAATATTTAATTAAGAGATAAACAATAACCAATGTTATGAATAATCAAAATAACTTGAAACAATAGGGTAAGGGAAATAATATTGATTAAAGAACATAAAATAAGAGAAAATGTCATAATCCTAACTAAAGAAAATAGTGTAGTAATTATTTTAAAATGAATCATACAGTTAAGGAATATTATTTTAAACATAGTTCTCAATCGTGGTATAAACATAAAATTGAACATGTCACGAACAATATCAACACTAATATAGACTTTTGTGACTTAAAAAAAAAAAAGAAATTGTGCAAGAAAATTAACATGATCATAATTAAGATAATGTTGAATTTATTCAAGAACAAATGAAACAAATTCTCAAACTTTTGAATAAATCCAAAAGTGTCTACACTTATAAGGGCAACAACTTTGTTGGTCAGTCATCCATTCATGCATATAAACATAATACACATTATTGAATTTTTTATTTTAGAACAACTAATCATATAACCTATGATACTTGTTATTTTATTAATTTTTATAAAATTGATCATATACGTGTTAAATTATCAAATAACTCATATGTTACTGCTCATTATGTTGGTAGGGTTGTTAATGTGAGTTTCAACTCGTGAGTCAAATACACTCATCACAGGTTTGAGGTAAGTTAAGTTGAAAAAATTTAAATATTTTTAATAGTGGATTAAAGCAAGTTCTACTAACTTAACCTGGGAGTTAAATTGGGTTAACATGTTTTTTCCAATGTTTTTTCCAATGTTTAATACTGTACTTTTTTTCTATTTATATGTTCGTGCAAATCCATGAGGAAAATAATAATTTAGTGAATAAATTCACTTATATTAATAAGTCAACTTATTTAATACACATGTTTTAATAAATTTAAAAGATAAAAATGTTATTTAAAAAACATACTTAAGTAGGTTAATCCATCTAATCCACCAATCTATGATGCGTTGGACTAGGTTGTATAATTTTTAACTCAAAAAAAATGAATCGAATTGAACTAATTCATTTTTAATGTAATCCGTCATGAACCAACCTATGTAAGTAAGATTGACTCACTTTAACACTTGTAATTCTAATACGGTTATAATATTTAATATCATAAAGTGACCTAGTTGCCTTTTCTTGATTTTTACAGAAAACCAAGAGAGAAACATATGCATGAAGGAGAAAAGAAATGGACCAGGAAAGAGAAAATTCACTATATTATAGTATGAAAAAATGGTAATCGAAAACATTGAAGTAGTAAACCTATAGTAAATTGAGTGTTTTCCTATTCCGACTTTCTCATAATTTTCAGTAATACAGCTAAGATAACGATGAGTTTTCTACACTAACAAGAACAAAGCGAAATTTTTTTTTTAAATTCAAGAGAAGGTCACCATGAACAAACTGTTTCTAATTAATAATAGGTGTAAAGTAGAAATATAAAAGATGTAAGAAAATTGAAAAACTATAATTTTATCGTTTTTAATTGTTAAGTTAAATGTTTTAGATAGTTAAATTTAGGATAAGGTACTTAATTCCACGTAGAAAAAGTAGTTTATTATTTTAAACATCAATTAATTAATTATTAAAAAGATTATTTTATTAAATTTTAATTAATAAATAGTATAATATATACATTTAAATAAAAATATATAAAACAATAAATTATTTAGAATGATTTAAAATTTGTATTATTAAAAATAAATTGAATCTAAATTATTTAATAACGACGTAATGTTTTTTTTACTTCTTTAAATCTTTAGATATGTCCACTCCTTTAAATAATTCCTGATACGCAATACGGGTTGTAAAATATGGATGGATCTTGGTCATTGTTATTCCTATTATCGAAGGTATTTTTGAGAAATAAAAAAATTCCAAAAAACCATTTGGGTGACCTTAAAAAAATATTATGGGAAACAATAATACATATAAGGTGGCAATAAAGCCCAATATGCGTTCGAATCAGCCCAATATGCATTCGGATCAGCCCATTCCTTATTTTAAGAATATTGTGAACTTATGCATCGATTACTTTGACCACATTTTCAAAATAGTTAAATATTTTTTTCTTATTAATTAACATTTATTTTAAAAATACAAAATCAATAATTTTTTGTATTTAATTATCTTGTCACGAAGTTACAGATTTCAATAAATTTAAACAAATAAAAAAATGTATAAAAATATTTTAAAATAAACATATTACTGACATTCTTCTGGTTACTATTCGATTATAATTTTCCTAAACTGTATTAGTCTTATCTGAATGCGCATTTTACGTGTTTAATTTGACAACCTTATTTGACCCGAAAAGGAAATAAAAAAAATGAAAAAAATTACAGATTTTACCATATTAATTATGAATGTGACGCTTAAGAAAGAACTTGAAAAAAAAAAATGTAAGTACAGTAAATAACACAATAAAAAAGTATGATATTTGACAAAATATTAATGATATAAAATTATTCACTTATTATTAAAACGTACTAAGTGGAAAATTATATTAAATGGAAAATACAGGTTTATCATTGATGTATAGAATAATTGTTTAGAAAGATTCTTTATTGGACTCTCGTACAAGAGAAACATTAAAAATACTCTTTCTAACATATATATTTTTTAAATGATTAAAAATCATAAAACTTTGTATGTTTTATAACTTATTTAATTACTAACAAAATAAAAAAATTATGTTAACAATATAAAGACAAACCTAACAACTTTTAAATTTAAGCACATGCGCCCAACCAGGTAAGTAAACCTTTCAATTAACAATTATAAATTTTGGAAATTTTTTAATTAAATAATTTATACATACAAAATATTTTCAATTAAAATTTAATATAAAATATGTACTTCACACAGAGGTTAGTATTTCTCTTTCAATCATATACACTTCACTGTTAAATAATTTTTGTCTGTAATATGTTCTGGTTTGGGAGATGACAACCATGGAACCCAGTGGACAGATACTTATGTTGTCAAGAACGTGAATAGAAAATCTATTGCGTAATCTTTACAATTGGACAAAAATTAATCTTCCATCGTGGATCATGATATTAGATTCACACAGTAAAATTAGATTCAGAGGATTACATGATCCAAAAGCCGAAGATTTTACTCACTTAAACGTTACAAAACCTCTTCAATGAGCATCTGAATCCTTCGTCTCCGGTTACGGGATCCAACCCTCTTTCCACCTCTGCCACCTCTATGATTATACCCAAAGGCTTTCTCGGACACCCAATTGGGGGAGGTAAAGACGAAGAACAACCCTCCTCCGCTTCGGAAACCGGAACCGAACCGGGTTCAGCGTCAGGGCAAGCCGCGACCGGTTGGACCAGGGTTCGGCAGAGAGGACAAGTGGAGTGAGAGGCGAACCAGGTGTCGATGCAGTTGGCGTGGAAAGCGTGGTTACAGTTGGGGAGCACGCGGCCTTTGTCGCCGTCGGCGAACTCCGACAGGCAGACAGCGCAGTCCTGGAGCGAGCAGTGGACGGCGGCGGAGAAGGAGAAAGTGGGGAGGGACTTGAGGACGGAAGGGTCGAGGCAGGGCTCGGCGGAGGAAGTTGTCGGAAGCGAATGAGAAGAAAGAGCGAGGCGGCGACGGCGGCAGAAGCGGACGTAGGTGTTGAACAAAATAATGAGGATTATGAGAACGAAGAGGAGAATGGCGGTGCCGACCATAACCTTGCCGTTATGAGCGTACTTGGATTCAATGTCTGGCTCCATAGTCATGATTGGGAAGCAGAGTGAAGAAAGTACTGTGATTTCGAAAAGTGTGGAAGGAGGGATTTTTATTTTATATTTGGACCAGATCGATACCTGCGTTTATATAATACTGCAACCACTCGTTGATTGGTTTTTTATTTCTACTTTTAAATTTATATTCTTGCCAACGTTTTCGTGTATATTTTTATTTATCTCAAATTCAATATGTTTATCTATAATTTTGATTTAGATAGGAATAAAGATTCTTCAACACTCTTATCTTATTCTACCCTCATTTTATTCTATATTGTTTTTGGACTCTGAAAAGTATCCAAACTCTTTAAAGACGGAAAGATAAAAAAGAGAATAGTAAGCAGAAGATGAGTAAATATAAAAAGAAAAAAATATAATAAAAAGAGGCGATAAACCAATCTCATTGGTACGCACATCAATGGTCGAATTTAAAATACGTGTTCCCTTCCCAGTGGCAGCACCACCATTTCTCTTTTGATATTCATGGAGTTTCTCCTCTTTCTGCAACATAATAACTATACAAAAATGAAAAATCAAAATCATAACTTGCCTTTGGCTCTTAGGTCGGATTCGTTGGACTGATAATTGCAATTTTTTTATTTATTTATGAAAATTGATTCAAGATGTTTGTGTGGCCTCCTGGATGGAAGGCATTCGCTGTCTCTTTAAGAGTTGCATTTACCTTTTACTTTTAATTTGAAACGTTATTATATGCTGCAAAGATAATGAACCAATTTTTTTGTCACTAAGCATGTTGAGATTGAAATGTTAGATACATCACAGTCTATGCATCAACACTCATGATAGACTCGAGAAACAAACAAAAAATAAATGTCTTATCAGAGAAAAGGGATCTGTAAAATTATGTGGAGTGTGCTTATTTGGTTGATGTAACACTACTAATACTCCACTTGAAACAGAGTATTACTACCACTTGGAGCTTTAATCCAAAAAGTAACATACTGACATTTTTCTCTCCCTTCATCATGTTTGATTGGTTCTTTTCCGGCAAAATATTTACATGCAATAGGATTGTGCGCAAATGTGAAAACATCTAAAGCGTTTATATATTATTTGTATATTGTCATTCGGATAGAATTCTGAACCTTTGTTCATGCGCTCTGGTTGTTAAAAGAGAATAAAAAACAAAAACAAATCAAGGCATGGGAAAAAAAAAAAGAAAAAGGGATTAAAAAATCACAACTTGTTGTTTGTCGCATTTGCTCCAAAACCACCAAATGGATGGGCAGTTCAGTGAACATTCCAAAAGTTTAAAGCAATTCGATTGTTTTCAAACAACATGTTGTTAATAGAAGTGGTGTTAATCCAACTATTCTTTTCAAACCCAACAATAATGCAGCACCACAATAATATTTTGAAGAGTCAAATGTACCGTGTGCCTCTTACTGCATAATTGTAACAAAATGAAACACTTCATATAGCATAGCTCCTTTTTATAGTTATATATTATTCTGAAGTTTTTGGAGGGCTTCAACAAAAAACTTCTCTTTCTGTTTCTGTTTCTTTTTCTCTTCCTTCCACCTTCTAGAATTTCTTTTGGGAAAATTTGTTGGACCCCCACTCAGTACAAGAATCGAATTTGGTACAGGTAAAATTCAGTGCAATCAGTGAATGCTTGCAAACGAAGACACAATAGTTGAGAATAAAAGCCAAATTCTACAAATTTATCTGCCAGTTAGTTGTAAGTACTCCTCGAGTAAAAAACAATATAATATGGACAACAGGATCATCCAATCCAATAGGATGGTATCAGAATTTATGGGAACATAACAGTGGAGCAGGTTATCATCACTATATACAAAACATAAAAAACATCACTGCCACTGATCAAGTTGGTCTAGCTACAAAGTTCCTTATGATTCAGTGCACCCTTTTTCTATTTTATAATTTTTACTCGTTATAATTGAGATTCCAGACAAAAACCAGAATATGTATGCGATAGAATTTGGATGAGAAAGTGCAAAAAAGGCAGAGTGTAAAGTGAAAAAGCAACGGAGGAAATATCAAGTGTGACTCTTTTGGGATTCCGATTCTCAAAGATAATGAAAGATGGTTCATGCAGTGAGATCCCCCACCCCACACCATGATCGTGTAGGTGGCGAATTGTTCTAACAGAAAAAAGTCATTAATTTCAATTATTTCATTCCCACTGCAGTTTTACTATAAACTGTTATAATGCTCCATATTAGCAGATGCTGTATTTGATATTTGTAGAAACTATAGAAAGTACTTGCAGTGCACGTTAATTAATACAGGATCCTGATAATTCACCTTATTCATCTTTAACTATCATAACTTTTTTCAAGAAAAAAAAGATTAAATTATAATGAATTAAGTTGTTAATGTTTTTAAAAATATATAATTTTAATTACTATATATATATATATATATATACTAAATATTTGGTAATTTTCATCGTCTATAATTAATAAGATGATTAAATATAATATATAATTTTTAGTTTTTTTATAATTTATGAAAGAATGATTAAATTAAAAAATAAAATTTAAAAACTAATTGATCAAATCGTAAAATACAGGATCAAAATAAATTTAGTAAAATATATATATATATATATATATATATATATATATATATATATATATATATATATATATATAACCGTTATAATAAAACTAATGATATGGCCATTGTGAAAATACGCCCTCTTGCTGTGCCCTCACGTTTGGGCCTCTCTATCCAAACCCAGTTAACATATCAATGGGCCAGTCCAGCAGTAATTGGAATACTAAGAAAGCAATTGTAATTTGCATCTTCGAGTTTTACTAATATATTCTTTATTTTATATTTTTTAAATATTTTTGTCGGAAAGTACTTTCTATTGGTTAAATTTCAATTCTTAAGACTAATATGCGAAATTCAATTTTACGGAAAAAATCGGACACTAATTATCTTATAAGTTGCTTTGTGGAAAAAATATCATAAAATAAATGAGATAAAAATAAATAAATTATTTTTTAAAATTGCTTTTCACAAAATGGTATATAGAGAGACTGGGAAGAAGTAAACTAATTTTTGCTTCACTGCATAATTTGTTTTTTTATTTTCTTTTCGTTTGTGAAACTTCATTTTAAGTCCTTTTTTTAACGCACACTTAACTTTTTTATTTATGAAAAATTGTATCATATATTAGACAATCAGTTACCTTGATAAAAGTATTCTCATTGAACTTAAATTAGAAGTTATAAGAAAATGAAAGATAACAAAGAAAAATTTTATTTATGACACATAAAATCCTACTTGATAATCAATCTTTTAGTCATTTCCTAATAAGATAATGTTCTAAATAATTTTAAATTGAAATTAAATATTAAAACTCTTTAATGCAGTTATTATTATAAATGTTTAAATGAAAGTTGTAATAAAAATACGTACACTAATACAAATTGACACGTATCCATAATTTGTTTTGAGGAAGACTGAATCTTCCAACGCTCAAAGAATGATTTTTTTGTTCCAATCTGACATGGAATTCAATTAAAATTTCTTGGATAATACACTATGCACAATAATTACCTCAGTAGGATGGTTTTTAGGATGGTTGGAATTCGGCTAGGGGAAACCGAATTTTAACCTTCAAAAATTGATTTTTTTTTTGAATTTCTCGGATAACATACTATACACGATAATTACCTCAGTAGCACGGTTTTTAGGAATGATTGGAATTCGGCTCACGGGAAGCCGAATTCTAACCTTCAAAAATTAATAAAATTTTAAAATATAATAATATTTATTAAATATATAAATATTATATATATATATATATATATTTTTTTTTTAAATTTGATATGTATATATATGAAATAAATATAAAATATAATTTTTTATATAACATAAAAATATATTTTTATAATTATATTATTAAAATACTTTTATAAATACAGTAAATACAAATATATTTAATATATATATATATATATAATATTTAAATATTTAAATATATTTTTAATACAAAATAACTTTGGTAAGTAAAAATAATATTTTTTATAGAAATATGATAAATACATTTTTATTAATATAATATAAAATAATTTAAATATAAAATGATATATAAATATTTTTATTATATTTTAATATATATGATAAATACATATTTATATTTTGTTATATACATTGTAACGTTATTAAATATAATATATAATAAATATAAATATATAATTTTATATATATATATATATATATATATATATATATATATATATGATAATATAATATTTAAGTACCGATTAACTACACAACAACTATCTTCTACCGATGACAAAGTATACTTTAAAAAACTACTTTAGATCTTTAAATCATGCATTGATTACTTTTGGTATTGTAAACCACTAGTCCAAATAGATGAGACATTTCTATATGGTAAATATAGGGACACCCTACTAACAAAATCTCTCTTCTCATGCGCCTCATAGACATGTCTTCGATGGATTTCACCTTCAACAATTACAAAAATAATGGAGAATATATTGTTCCTTTCATCTTGTGCAACAACTAGTAATAGGGTGTCCCTATATTTACCATATAGAAATGTCTTATCTACTTAGACGGGTGATTTACAATATCGAAAATCATTAATGTATAGCTTAAAGATTTAAAATAGTCTTTTAAAGTATACCTTGTCATCGATAGAAGATAATTGTTGTGTGGTTAACCTGATACTTAAATATTATATAAATATTATATTATCATATATATATATATATTTATAAAATTATATTTGTATATTTATTATATATTATATTTAATAAAGTTATAATGTATATAACAAAATATAAATATGTATTTATCATATTTATAAAAAAATATAAATATATTAAAATATACTAAAAATATTTATATATAATTTTATATTAAAATTATTTTATATTATATTAATAAAAATGTATTTATCATATTTCTATAAAAAATATTATTTTTACTTACAAAATTTATTTTGTATTAAAAATATATTTAAATATTATATATATATTAAATATATTTGTATTTACTGTATTTATAAAAGTATTTTAATAATATAATTATAAAAATATATTTTTATGTTATATAAAAAATTATATTTTATATTTATTTCATATATATACATATCAAACTTAAAAAAAATATATATATATATAATATATATATATATTTATTTATATATTTAATAAATATTATTATATTTTAAAATTTTATTAATTTTTGAAGGTTAGAATTCGGCTTCCCGTGAGCCGAATTCCAACCATTCCTAAAAACCGTGCTACTGAGGTAATTATCGTGTATAGTGTGTTATCCGAAAAATTTTAATTGAATTTTATGCGAGATTAGAAAAAAAAATCAAATTTTGAAGGTTAAAATTCGGTTTCCCGCTAGCCGAATTCCAACCATCCTAAAAACCGTGCTACTGATATAATTATTGCGCATAATGTGTTATCCAAAATATTTTAATTGAATTGCATGACAGATTGGAAAAAAAAACCCTCAAAGAATATAACACATGAATTTGTTAAAAATAAAATTGAAACTAATTTCCAAAAATTTACAAATTATAAACATATAATATTTGTAAAATGGAACAGAATATGGTTTTATGAAGTAAATAATTACATTCTTATTCAATAATATTTTTTCTATTGAAGAAAATTAATATGTTAATTATTATTTCTTCTGTCAATGGTAATAATAGTTGAATTTTTAAAAATATTAAAAGTTAATCCAGATTTTAGAAAAAATTAAACTTAAATCTTGAATTGAAGATGATAATTATAAAATACGTGTCATCCATATTTATTGATGTTTTCGAACCTATTAGTATTTGAAGCATGATTTCTCTGTGGCCAGCGTTGAATTTTGGACGGAGCGGAAAAGGCAAGACTTGGATCGTCTTGAATTACATCACGACACGCAAAATTATTTGGAATTTGTTTTCAAGAAAGGAAAAGAAAAATTCTCTTCCCACTCTCCACTTACCTAGAGTCCCTGCAACAGCAGATTGTACTCACGAATAAAACGACGTAAGAAAAGTGAAGCAGAAGATCTCAAATAAACCACGTTATCAAACTTTGAAGTAAAGAGATTGGGAAAGAGAGTGAAGAAAAAAAAAATGGAGGAAATAGAGCACAGTACGGTGAGTACCAATGGAATAAATATGCACGTGGCATCAATTGGGTCAGGCCCAGTGGTTCTCTTCCTCCACGGCTTCCCGGAGCTATGGTACACGTGGCGCCACCAGCTACTGTCGCTCTCCGCCGTGGGCTACCGCGCCATCGCCCCCGACCTCCGCGGCTACGGCGACACCGACGCCCCGCCCTCCGCGTCCTCTTACTCCGCCCTCCACATCGTGGCGGACCTCGTTGGGCTTCTCGATGCTCTGGGCATCGACCAAGTGTTTTTGGTGGGTCATGACTGGGGGGCTTCCATAGCTTGGTATTTCTGCTTGTTGAGACCCGATCGTGTGAAAGCCCTAGTAAACATGAGTGTCGTATTCCGCCCCAGGAACCCTAAACGAAAGCCTATTCAGAGCTTAAGGGCCATGATGGGCGATGATTACTATATCTGCAGGTTTCAGGTAAAACAATTCACTAATTCAACTCCTTTTTTTCTTCACAAATTTCAAAGATATGGGTCAATTACAGTATAGATCTTTGTGTTTTGGTTCTGCTGCAGAAACCTGGGGAGGTTGAAGAGGAATTTGCTCGTGCTGGTGCTGCGAGGATAATAAAGACATTTCTTGCATCTCGTGATCCACGTCCACCTATTGTTCCTAAGGAAATAGGATTTGGAGGTTCACCTAATCTTCATGTTGCTCTGCCATCGTGGCTGTCTGAAGAAGATGTCAATTATTATGCCAGCAAATTTGAACAAAAAGGCTTCACTGGTGGACTGAACTACTATCGCGCTATGGATCTGTAAGTTTCTTCTAATTCCTTGAAGGTAACATAGCTATATATACTGCAATGCAAGTTCCTATGGTGTACATGTGTCTGGAAAAAAATATTTTAGTAAGAAATAAGTTTTTTCTTTGAAGCAGAACATATATGACCTCAAATGATCACCTCAAACATCCGATTTAGACATGTAGTTTTCCGCTGGCTCCTAAATGTCCTTTGGCTTAAACTGATTATGAATAAATTGTTCCGAATGATTAATATTTAGAACACTGATATACTTATCCAAAAATGGGGATGTATAGGATGGAAGGAAAAGAGAATCAAAAAAGGAAGTAGGGAGAAAGAGAGAGAGTGTTGAGATGTCAATACAAACAGTTCGTAGCTTACAATTCGATTATTAGGACACTTCTATTTTTTTCATGTATTCGTCTGTATTCTAGAATCAAGATGTATATTCCTAGTTGTAAGAGGTTGTTGAGATAACTAATCGTAGGCCTGTGGGTTGTTGAGAAACCACATCTATTAAAGATACGGGTAATGCAGTTGGTACAAGTGTTGGACAGACACCTTTCATTTGTTTTTATTGGGCTAAGTTAGGTCCTGTCCTAAGTTTAAATTTGAAGAGAAAAGGACAGATTCGTAAGTGAAACAATGGAAAATAAAGAGGCATGAGAAGATGAGAGAGAAGAATAAGTGAGTGTATTTTTACATATATTTCCAATGTTCAAAAGGAATTTAGCTTGAAAAAAGGGGCATGTTTACCTGAACCTGGTTTATAGTACTGTATGCTTGCATGGACTGGGGGATGTGTATGTAGTGTGGTAAATTTCGTTTTGTCTGCAGAACCTGGGAGCTCACAGCGGCATGGACTGGAGTACAGATCAAGGTACCGGTCAAGTTTATTGTGGGAGACCTCGACATTACATATAACACTCCAGGTGTGAAGGAGTATATACATAATGGTGGCTTTAAGAGAGACGTACCATTCTTGCAAGAATTGGTTGTGATGGAAGGGGTAGCCCACTTTATAAATCAGGAAAGGCCAGAAGAGATCAGCGCGCATATATGCGACTTCATCAAGAAATTTTAGTCCGTTCACAAGTATGCCGTGTAAAAGTCATCAATGATTCCTAAAATCCGGATTTGGATGCACTATTTCACTAACTTATATGAATGTCGAGTCTGCATAATTTCTGGCTTAACGCCAAGGATTTATTTTGTCTTAATTTGACTCATATTAATCAAATTCAATGCATCTCAAAGTTACTGTACCAAAAAAATACTGTCTCAAAAAAGTTCACCCCTTCCATGATGACTTAGCGGTTCAATCAAGAGCAGCCACCAAATGGTAGATATATTCCAATCTCTCTTGCTGTCTGCATATGTTATTGTTGCAGTACTGTTTGTTTTACAATAATCTCACTTTTCCAATTGTTAGTAGAAAATCGAGAAAAACGATCGAAATCGAAGGAAAGAAATGTGACTCGATAAGATAAACAAAAATTCATTCGATGTCTAATTAGAAATACGTAGCATATAGCATCGAGAAGCACAATCGAGAATCGAATGAATAATAATCAAATGACTGTTGTCGAATAAAAACTAAGTCATATAAGACCAGGGTTAAAAAATGAATCGTAATCAATTCGAAGTTCTCGAAAAATACAGAATCGAGAGTAAAGAAAGCAAATGTGAACATCGAGACTTTGGTCAAATCGTGAAAGGAAGTAAGTCGAATGCACGTATAAAGAGCAGTTTTGAAATCATGGGAAAAAGTCGGAGATCGTGAGAACGTGGGAAACTATAGAAGATAAACTGCCATACGCACGTAGAACGTGGTAGCAGTCGTGTTAACTGCTCTTGGAAGGTTTGAAGGATGCCCTATAAATAGAGCAAAGGAGGAAGGAACAGGAGAGCAGAAATTGGCAGAGAACAGAATCAGTAGTGAAAAGTCTACCGGAGAAACGACGAACACCATGAAGCTTCTGGCAATCTGGATTTCCTTGCTCACCGAGTACATTTACCACTTTCTGTATTTTCCTTGGTAATTTATTTTGATGCAACTTAAATTCAGCAGCTTTATGTTTCGTATTTTCGATTCCTTGTTCATTTCAATTCAATGAAAATTTAAGTTTATGCATTTAAGTTTCCATGTTATTTAATATTCTGCAAATCTCGATTTAATTGCCATTTACATTTCCTGCACATTTCGATTCCTCGCCATTTATATTTGCACTATTTTTTATTCCTCGTCATTTACAATTAATGCAATTTTGGGGTTTTTGCACTTTATATTTTCTTGCAATTTAATGTTCGTTTCTCGATTCGATACTTTACTGTTTTCAGTACTTTAAATACAAAAATACAAAAAACAGTTTTCTTGATATCTTGTGATTTTTGATCCTCATACACGTTTTCGATTGAAAGTCAGACTGCTAGCCTAAGTAAAAAGAACTTACGTGGGAGGATTTCGATTAGGACCATAATACTGTTTAGAATCGAAATCGATCGAAATTCCACCGTAAACAAATTGGCGCGCCAGGTAGGGGGATTGTGTTGAGAAACACAAAATTGGTTAGTTCGAAGGTGTATGAGATTAAGGAGTGGGAGAGTCATGAGTCGAGTTCATTAAATAACCAAGGTAACAAGTGAGGGATTAAATAGGTCACACCCACCAAATACTCGGGGGCAAAGTCATAATGGGAACATACCCGTAGTATCGACAACCGTGAGCATGTCGATACTCGTGAGTAGTGAACAAAATTCAGGTACATTAGCAAACATCCAAGTAGGATCTAGTACGGTGATACCAAATAATATGCAAACTATAGAAAATCCCACAACCACATATGTAGGGCCACGTATGAGTATAAGACCGCCCGGGTTTTCACTTAATAATGTGAGTGGGGCTGGAACTTCTTTAACGCATAGGAATTCGAGATATAACTTAGGAATGTCCCAAACACTAGGTATGCCACAAAATTTTGGAATCCCTCCGAATTTAGGGACGTCTCAAAACTTAGTAATTTCACAGGATTCAGGGAATGGACAGAATGTAGGCACACAACAGATACCTCCAAATCTAGATCAGAGGGGATACTTAGATCATGGGAGATATGTATTCGATAGAGACTATCATCGATCTAATTTTGATTCTATCGAAAACATGGGTACCGGAATATCTAGTAATTCATTAGGGGTACTCAGACAACAAATGGATGAGAGTAATTTTGAAATGGTGAATATGTTATCACAACAATTGACTACAGTCTTAAATCCATTAGTGCAAAACACTACTGCTAGCTTTGAGATATTAGCAGACCAAATGTCACGAATCGGGGATGCCTTGGCTGTGCCTCGACAAACGAGGATAGAAAATCATGCTAATCAGAATACTAATATTAATCCCCCATATCTATTGAGAAGAAATAGAAACAATGATCAACAGCAACGTATGGGAAATGAATATCAACATGTGAGGAATGATATTTATGGGAATTTGAACGAAGGATTTCAAAATATACACAATCAGAATAATATGTTGGGACAAAGGATGAATTTACAAGGGATGGAATTTAGACCACCCAATCAGACATATTTTGTGTCTCCCTTTCCGAATGCGATTCTCGAGACAGAATTGCCTCGAGGATATAAAGTACCCAAATTCACTAAATTTGCTCGGAGAAGTTGGTGAATCGACTATCGAGCATGTGGCTCGATATCAGATCGAATGCGGGGATTTAGCGATGAGTGAAGAATTAAAAATGAAATATTTTCCTAGTTCTTTGACTAAGAGTGCTTTTACTTGGTTCACGTCATTGCCACCCAATTCGATATATAATTGGCTGCAATTGGAAAGAAATTTTCATGAGCAATTCTTTAGAGGAGAAACTCAAGTGAGTCTCATCGACTTGATGAATATAAAAAGATACAATCATGAAAGCATAGATGATTATTTGAATCGATTTAGACAAATGAAATCGAGATGTTTCACTCAAATTCCCGAATATGAATTAGTCGAATGGCCTCTGCAGGTTTAGAATTCTCGATTAGGAAAAAACTAGTCAATTTACCATTGAATGACATGGCTCAATTAGTCGATAAAGTGAGAAGAGTGGAACAAATAGAGTATGAGAAACAAAGGTATAAGAAATATGAGAAACCTTTGAAAAAGGAAAGAATAGCATACATAAATGATGTATATGAGACAGATAATATGACAGAAAATGATATTGAAGAAACTGTCGATGAGAAAGTAAACTTAGCAGAACTCAAAGTAGGGGCTCCATATACCTGTAAATTGCTACAAAAGAATGAAGTAAAAGATAAAATGACAAATCGAACATATACTTTTGATGTAACAAAAGCAGATAGAATCTTTGATATTTTATTGAAAGACAAACAGATTAAGTTGAGTGATGATCATAAATTGCCGTCTGCAGAACAAAGGAATGGTCGAAAATATTGCAAATTTCATAATGTTTATGGACATTGGACTAACAATTGTATACATTTCAGGAACACAATCCAAGATGCGATCGATCAAGGAAGGTTGAGATTCGAAGAAATGACAATGAAAGTTGACACGAGTCCATTCGAGGCTCAAGTAGGATACCTCGAATCCCAAACGGGCATTACTGATGATGTCCGATTAATAAATTCGGCCTTTGTAGGCATGGTAGATATCACTGAAGACATCGATCCTAAGCATGTCAGGATGGATGTATCTGAAGAAGATATGAAATTTGACCTGAGTGAATTCGAGAAAGAGTTTGAAAAGGAAATATACCCTCGATCAGGAGATTCTCTCATCGAATTTTTGAATAGAAAGAAGGAAAAAGACGAAGATGTGTCATTATGCCCACGTTACAGCGTAGTGTTCGATAAATCGGCTACCAAAGCTTTCAGAACATAACAGATGAAGAAGATCGAGAACCAAAATAAAAGGAAAAATGACAAAGTAGATCAAACAGTCCGACCAACGATCGAAGAAAGTCAGCAGAAATCCGTTGGTTCTGGTGTTAGTGAAAATCGGAGGCAATGAATTAGAAGAGAGATGTATCCTTCTAGAGGAGGAAGAGGTAGACTTCAAGGTAATGATGTCTTCGAAAGACTCTCATATGATGATGAATCGACCACTAGATTCCCAACATTCTAAAGAAGATTCCGAGGAAGGCCTTGGAGAAGAGGAGGAAGGATCCCCTATTGGAATAATTACAGAAACTTTGAAGAAAATGTTGCACCGATAGAGAATCATTATGCAAGAGAATTTTTCGATAACAAGAATGATGATACTTGGGACGAACATCAAATCGGGGTAATATCAATTTTACCTGCGGAGTATGTGAGCGAATACAAAGAATACCAAGAAAAAAGAGATGCCGAGCGAGAAGATGACTTATATTCAGAAAACATAAGGCCAAAAATAACATGGGTCACACAAACCTCATGTGAAGTTCCTCATAGAGACGCTGCTTTCATCGATCCCCCATCTGAGGAAATGAGGTTCCACTTGAAACCATTATTACTGAACATCGAGATCCAAGGACAGATGGTGAATAGAGTCCTTGTCGATGGTGGAGCAGCAGTGAATATACTGCCAATTACTATGCTAAAGAAATTTGGCATTGAACTAAAAGACTTAGTCAAGCACAATATTATGATTTCCGATTTCAGCGGAAAGACGTCAAGTTCAGAAGGTATGATTGCCTTAGACGTAAAAGTAGGCACTTACTCGAGACCTATTGTGTTTGTTGTGGTCCAGTCGCATGCCAATTTCAATGCATTACTTGGCAGAGAGTGGATTCATGGAGTCGGAGCTGTGCCTTCGACAACTCATCAAAAATTATTTATGTGGAATCGAGATGGACATCTCGAGGTAATCCCAGGAGATCAGCACGAATTTGTAACATTCGTATCTCAGGCTGGTCGAGCACTGCAGAATCTGGCGCTTGCTCAACCATTCACCTTCGAAACGAGTCGAAGATTTTAATTCAAAACTGCATGAGGAGCGTTTCCTAGAGATGAATGAGAAGAAAGGATTCATCATGATCAAAGAGGGGGCCAACCTCGAAGTGGCCGGTGAAGATG